CAGTTTCACAATAGACGTTTATACACCATTCGATAGAGAATTTCAAGAGCTACATTTTGCACTATTTGTATTTCAAGATAGATAAAATCGACTTTTTGGCCTAATGTCCGCTTAGTTGCCCACTGTGGAATAGGACTAGTTGGTAAATGCAGAACAAGACACACTTGAAGTATGTCAGTGAGACTAGGAGCGTTTCTTTTTAGTTCGAAAAACGAACATCATCCACGATACTTAACGATTTTCTTCCTTGAAAATGGCTAATTTCGTGCATAACTCCCTACACATCAGTACTGGAGCTACAACAAATAGCTACCTAACAGTTTGAAACTCAGTTAGGGAAATATTTTCAAACTAATTTTATTACCAGTATAACCAAAAATGAGAATATTCTTCAATGGACTTTGATTTGCTAATTAGGAATGCACGTCACCATTGTTGATCAACATAGGTTCTCTATCCTTTGAAACCATATCAACTTATCTCTGACTTTCTTCACTCAAATTTTTTTTAATATAACTTTTTATAAACGAAAAATAAATCTATTCTCTTTCCAATGTATTGAATTTTCAATCCACCAATCTTTAAAAGACAACGTTAGGTTTTTTGGATGGGAATCACGCTACTCATATGCGTGCACTGCTTCAGAAAGAACTCAAAGTTCATTGATAATGACTTTTCTTTCTTTTTTTCTTCTTGACGGATCTGAGCTAATCGTACACAAATACTCACAACAAAGAAAACGACATTATAAATACATAAAGTGGGCCTTAGTGATTCATCCAGTAGGTTCCAATTTTGATTTGATCAGATGTGCATTGTTGGTCGTAGATGAAACGAACTTCTACTTTATGAAGCCAGAAGGGAAATAAACGAAGATCAGCAACAGCACCATGCTCATCAGGAGCTTTTTTAAATGAAGTAAGTTCTACTTCAAAAAAATCTCCCTTTGCAAAGCCTGTATTCTTTTTTTTCGCTACAAGACTATATTCTTGCCCGTTGATCCACACGATAACTTTGCCTCCTCCTCCACCTTTACGCTGAACATTGACCGAGATGTGACTCCATGTTTGTGGAGTTACGTTCAACTTCACATTGGTCCAATATCGCTGTTGATTAGTGACTAAAGTCACTTGTTTGTCAGAAAAATCTAGATAGAGATCTACATTGGAGGATTTTGAATTGAAATAAAGATAGAAGTAATCGTCTTGTGATGGAATAATAGCCCAAAAAGAAACACAGTACTCAGTTTCTCCTTTTTGAAAGAAGGGTGAAATAGGATGAGAATAAACTTCGTTTGGAGGAAGAGAGAGCATAGAATAACATGCAAAGGGCGGTGGTCTGATAAAAAAGTTTTTGGCCTCTTGTTTTTGGGTATTGTGGTCCTTTAATACGAACTGAATAGAAGAATGGCGAGAGAAATGACGCTTGCCCCATTTGTTAAAAAACAATTCATTGTTGATCACTTGTTTCCACCTTCTATTGACAAGAGAGAGTTGGACCACATGAGAAAGAGCATCATTGACATGAAGGATAAGTTTTTCCAATATTTCTGATGGTACTTTATCCATCTAAGCAAAGAGAACGTTCATCTCACTTCAACTTAACAAAAACTGAGATAGAAAACCAATGAAGTCTTACTCTGTTTTTTTTCTTTTAATAAAAGCTCTGACTTCCTTTTCTATTTAGAGAAAAGACCGCCTAATCTGCATGTTACTTTGAAAGAAAATCCATCTATTGACAGAAGGGAGAAAGGTAAACACAATTATCTTTTTTGTCTTTCTTTGTCACAATAGCCGGAAAGCGCCTATGCTCTAATTCAATGACTATCCTCTCGGTAGTTTATTAAACTTCAAAGAAAGTAACTACTACAAAGTATGTCGCTTCTTACCTTCCTACTATCTTTTCAACCACAGTAGGACGAAATACGAAAGACGAAAAACGTCTCGACTTTCTACCTCTGCGTCTACAACTGAGCTGTCTTCTTCTTCTTCGTCAGCTACTGAACTAGAGAAAGGGTTTGATTCGACAACATACTAAAACGGTAGAACAGAAAACCTATCTTCAGTTGACCTTGTAATAGTTGTTGAGGAAGTAATGATGATAGAAGTGAAGAGAGAAAAAGAGAATGAAGGACAAAAAAATCAGGTCATCATTTTCTTCTCTGCTCAGTCATCTCCGAGAGTGAGAGAAACAAGAGAACAAAATCAGAACCATTGGAAAGGTTTTGCAGTTTTTTGACCATTTTTTTCCCTAGAAAAATCATCCAAAACTCGAACAAAGTACATATTCTGACTCAGCGTCAAAAACTGCATCACATGATATATGTCACAAGCCAATCGAGGTTTTCGAGATGTAACTCGAGATGGGAGAAAAATTCGTCTATACCACTATTCGATGCACTTTTTGACGCTGATTTCACATATGTATCTGGTCTGCTGTTTTAACAGAATTTTCCATGTTAAACCCCTTTAAACTTCATAGTGAGTTAAAAAAGTCACGGTTTTCTGAAAAGCCTAAAGCGGTGAATCGAACAAGCTGAAATTTTTACTGTACTGAAATCTATATTATCCGATCTCAGCATACAAATTTCTCCTGAATCGGATAAAAGGAAGGACACTTTTGGCTTCATCGAGGGTCAAAAAACCCTCTCCTTAAAAATTCGATATCTTGAGAACGGCTCAATATGCAATGAGATTCGAGTTGATTCATGTAGAATCGATTATGAAGAATCGTACTATGACCTCGAAAAATCTTGCGGATGGGCAGGGAATTCACAGGTGATTTTTAAAAACTCAAAAAACTTCTGTAAAACATTCTTTTCAAATCGCAGGAACATGATCAAAAGTTCTGGATTTCACCATTCGACTTAGACTGTTAAGTTCTATCTATGAGGAAAATTTCGGCTTGGTCGAGCACAGTTTTCATAAAAATCGGTATTCAAAAACCCAAAACTTGAAGAATTTTTCTGGTCTTTGCATTGGTTTAAAAAATTAATTTATCTATTCTGTACTATCGTGGTTTAACGCTTTCAGACATTGAAATTGGTTATTTCCAAGCTCACATCAATCAGTCCTTCTACACTAATAGCTTCTATAGCTTTTCAGAAGATCCAGATGCAGCTTTCAAAGGAAATGTGCGCATCGTTTTAACAACGAAAAAAGGAAGGCGCCTTAATGTGGGAAGTATCGCAAAATGGAGCATTTTTCCTAACGAAAAAGAAGCATTACTAGCTGTTGGCTCTCAATTGCAAGTAATGAGTGTGAATGCAGTGACAAATGGTCAATCTGATCATCAGATCAATGTTGAACTTGTTGGCAACGACTAAATTATAGTTTACCTGACCTACACAAACTTCTCTCTTTTCAGTACATTCAAATTTCTGTGCTTTTTTCATTTTATTCATGCTCTCCTAATGATGTACTGTATATCTCGGATCCAAGCTTTTTCAATGATGACTTCTTCTCCCGTTTTCAAAAAAAGTCCACATCAAACCAAGGTTTCGAAGTATAATTTGTTTCTTGATCGTCCCACTTACAGATCAGATTGACTCAAAACTTTAAAACCACAAGTTCTTCTCATTACTATGCCTAATCTGTGTACAAAGTTTTATCGATATCCGAAATTGTTCAAGAAAACATTTTAGAGATCTTGACACGAAAATCTAATTGAGTGAAACCATGGAAGGAAAATTTACAAAACAAATACCTCAGCACAGTGGGCATATAGGCAGAAATTAGGCCAAAAATCGAAATAACTCGGTTTTTAAAAGTAAATAGTCTAAAATGTAGCCCTTGAAATTCTCTATCGAGTGGTATATAAATGTCTATTTTGATAATGCACCGTTCGACCAGAAAACACGATACAAAAACACTAACAAATGCGACATCTATACGCAAAAATACGATTATTTGCTTACCCAGCTATGTCTCGCGATTTCAAACTACATATTCAGAATCAGCACGTGTTCAGCTATCTACACATATAAAATTGTTACTAATAACACATGTAATTCAATAAATAAATGCGATATACTTTTAACGCGCCTAACCGAACTGACACTATCTCAGTACAGTCGAGTTCCCCCCGTTTCCCCCGTTCGAAAATAACATTCAGATACATCAAAATGTTCCCTGACACTTACTACATCATACCCTTTTACCCTTTTTTACCCTTTTATTTCTAACCCTAGTTATGAATTTTACAAAAACCATAAGGTTTTCGAAGTATTTTGAGGTTTCCCCCCTTAAAAACACACTTTTCGACAAATGTAATACTATATTCGGAATCAGCGTCAAAAACTGCATCGAATGGCGTGTAACTCACCTAGGTTCGGTCGCTCGATTTTGAATTCTAGAAATTTCTTAGTTTTTGAGATTCACACAAACAATTTCGTGCTGAAAATTTGAATTTCAAGATAAGTAACCTGAACGACTCAAAACATGTTTCGACAATGCTAATAAAATAGGTTTTCGACAATGCTCTTTCCAGTGGCATCGTTTTTAAATATTGAGAAAGTTTTCTGAAGGGTTTTCCAGAGATCGGATCTCTGGAAAACTCAATAGAAAACTTTTTCAAAACCCAACTCTCATGCCATTAGAAAGAGGATCATGAAAAACCTATAAAAAAATGGTTCATGAAATTTTAGTTCACTCATAAAGCTAAAGTCCGCCTGCTCTAGCAAAAAATGCCCACTGTGCTCAGATTATTCTTTCATGATAGAAGTCAGTCCAAGTAAAGCTAAATGGAAATGATTCATCTTTATTGAAGAGACTTTTTTCTTCATTCTTACAAATTCTAAACTATATTAAAAAAAATGCAAACAAAAGAGATATTAAGAGTACAGTTATAGATACCAGAAATGATCGAGTGCTTGAGTTTCGATTTACCCAACAATATGGGTTCATGGAATCTCCAAAAGCTACGCACACCATGTTATCTAAAAAGAAAATTGTGAAGAAGTGAAACCATTGTCAATTAGTGAGTTTAACGACTTACCAGAATTTAGACAACAATAAGTTGATTGATTTGTAGCATTAGCATTACACATCATCCCTTGAGTGAGAGGAAGAAAAAATTTCAGCTTTTTTTCCCTACAAATAGCAAAACTTACAAGTAGGATTAGCACATTGAATTGTTCCATTTGTTGTACAATTTAAAATAGAAGAATCATAACAAATTCCATTACATAGTTGAACGGGACTTGTCTGATTAAGTTGATAAGCGTAACGTGAATATCCAGAACATATGGTTTCATTATTAACACAAACATCTCCCTTGTAAAAATCTAAACATTGTGGAGGATTTGTGCCGCACACATCGTCTTTGTAACAAGGAGTATTATTATTGAGACATACTTGATATTTAGGATCATAACATGTGAGACCACAAATACTGTCTGTTAAATCACAAAGAGTTGCATTATTAAAACACTGACGCTTCGTTTCATTATAACACTGATTTCCACAGTTCGCTACACATTCAATTGTACTTTCATTGATACATTTTTGCACGCTAATTCGATAACATGTTCCATTGCACAGTTTTACTGAAGCAGGATTTTGCCATTCACCCGAGTCGATGGAAGTGGGACATATAGTCGTATTGTCTACACATGCATCACCCCCTGGTACACACTGTCCAGGGTTACCACACAAGGTTGAGGTATTACACATCGTTTGATTTAAACACACTTGATACGATGGATCATAACAAGTAAGATATGGATAGTCGGAGATTGTACATGGTTGTTGTGTTAATTTACAAATGAATGTATCATTAAAACAATAAGAATCTGTATTATTATAGCACAAACCATGACAATTATGAGGACAATTCAACACACTACTATCGTAACAACTTTGGTTTATTGGATTATAGCAACCAGCCCAGCCACAGACACTTTGATTATCAGGACATGTTTGACCATGAGAAGAAGGAATTATGGAGAAAATAAGTAGATGAAGGAGAATAGTAGTAGCAAACATGGTTCGTTCAATTTACTTCAGGTTTATTCAGACTTTACTTTTTAGACTATTTATGGTTCGTCGTCACGCGTGATTCGTCAAGTCCTTTCTTCTTTTCTTTTTCTTCTTTGTTGATCGTTTGAGTCAAGGGAAATATCCTCCCCCTTCATTCATGTGCGTCAAGATAGATGCTTTCGTATTTATTTGGTGAAAAAAGACCGTGGCAAGAGAGGAAAGTAGATAGTGAGAAATAGAGTAATTTTTCAAGTTTGCCGGATGAATGCATGCATGAAAGGTTGAATTTGTCAACGAGAGCAATATGCAAGCAACACATTAATGTTGAGACTAAAGTCTCTCATAGCTTATTCGATGAAGATTAATTATTTCACAATCATGCTAAGGTCATCTTATCAGTTTTCATTTCCTTCTCACAAATCTTGCTCAGCGTGAAGCTTCTTAAAAATCGCTTTCCAGTGGCATCGTTTTTAAATATTGAGAAAGTTTTCTGAAGGGTTTTCCAGAGATCGGATCTCTGGAAAGCTCAATAGAAAACTTTTTCAAAACCCAACTCTCATGCCATTAGAAAGACGATCATGAAAAACCTATAAAAAAATGGTTCAGAACTCTATAAAATGAGTGTACAATATCGTCTAATTTGAGAACTTTTGCTTTACGAGTTCCAACTGGGCCATACTGAATATCTGCGCAGCGAAGGGCGAGGGTACTTTGAAGAAGAGCACTGCATTTGACCGGTTCAAAAAATTCAATAACGGCGACACGAATCGCGAAAATCTGCTCGCTCCGGACGACCATTCTCGATTGATCCAGAGGCGCTGTGCTAAGCCGTCAAAGCTGATCCAGCCACAAGTACGCGTAAATTGTCGGCCGAGTTCGGAACATCAAACTCCACAATATATGAACATCTTCGTCGTCTTGGCAAGGTCAACAGAAGTTGTCGAAATGTAACGCCCGAATTGACACCAGAACAAGCTCGGCATCGCGTTAACATCTACAAAGAATTGCTCGCCAATCTTCGGGACGAACGTTTCATCAAACGAATTGTTACCTTCGATGAAAAGTGGATCTATTTCAACGATCCAAACAAACAAAACCAATGGATCAATCGAGGTGAGGCGGCACTTCCGGTCCCGATAAGAGATCGTTTCGAAAACAAGGTCATGTTGTGTATTTGGTGGAATTTTGAGGGTGTAATCCACTTTGCGACTACGCGTTGCGACTCGGACGCGAGAAAAAAGAGAAGAGCTGCAGTGCGAGCTTCTACCTCACCCAGCGTACAGTCCAGACCTTGCGCCATCTGATTACCACTTGTTCCACTCGATGGCTCACTTTCTACGTGGAAGGTGCTTCACCAATTTTGACGAAGTCGAAAACGGGTGCCGAGAATTTTTCGCCGAGACGATCGAGACTCGTACCGCAGAGGAATCGAATTGCTTGCAGAACGATGAATTAAGACCGTAGAACATAATGGTTTATAATTTGATGAATAATATCTTATTGTTGTAATTATATGAACTGTCAAATAAAAGTGCGAAAATTCCGAAAACTTCCGAACGTTATAATATATACGTTCTTTTTCCATTATGTGACAAAAATAGTTTCATGTTCTTCTTTTCTTTTATTTAGGTATTCACTTTTCTTTCCACCAGTATCGAAAGAAAATTAAATAAACCATGGTTTTTGGGCTATTTGTGCTTCTTAAAAGGGTTTTAAAAATTACTGTTAAGACATAGAAAACTTTTAATAACATATTTGGATTCAGCGGCGAAAGGCGAACATTTTGAAAAAAAATTAAGTATCCAACCAAGAATTTCAATTTTTGAATTTAATTTAAAATTTAATAAGCTCAACATTTTTTAAAATGCTTTTAAAATGCACAGCTTTAAGCTGTGCTCAGAAAAGAGATAGTCTGCTATAGGTCACATTGATCTTGTTTCTCTTCTCACGCAGACAGACGATGTAAATAGCAGAGTAAACACACAGAGGTGCATGAAAGAGAGAGAGAAGTAGTCAGTCTATCACTCTCCTTCTATAGACCCAGGTTCAGCCAGTCATTTTCTTCGTTTTCTTGCTTAGTGGACTATCTTTATTTGATTTGTGCTAATGCTCACCGCCATTCCATTTTTTTACCTCTATTCTAGCACTGAATCGCCTGCCCATGTCAGAAATTTCTGTCATACTTTTTAATTTTTTGAAAACAATACATGATCTGATAGTCTTTGGTGTCTATTATCCAAACCCATGCAATTTTGGGTTTCATCAAATGTCTGTGAAAGTTTTTAGAAAAGTTCTAAAGCTGTAAGAATTAACTTTTCACAAATTGTGATTCTATACGCTGTCAATAATATTGATAATTTCTGTTTGGAAAGTTTGAGAAGATTTCCATTTGAGGAATTTTCTCGAACAGAATTTCCTCGAATGGAGGTCTTCTCGAATTTTCCAAACAGAAATTATCAATATTATTGACAGCGTATAGAACCCCCTCAAATTTTCCGTTATATATGTTCGCACCCGTTTATAAAAGAAAATAAGACTATAACTCATTTTAGTCACTTTAATACATAACATTTGATACATTGATACAAAGACGAGAAATACTCCTGGTCTAAAAAAGCGGCTCGTTAACGTCCAGTTAACAGTCACCGTTTACTGACCGTTTGCTGAACGTTTCCTGACTATTTATTATTCATAGAGAAATTGGCCATTAACTGGCCCTTAACGTTTTTAGATCGTTTTTCAATACTTTATGCTAAAGCAATCTTAAAATGATTTCTGAATGTTTCATACATAATTAGATACTTTACACCGTAAACAGGTCAGTTAACGGACCGTTTTTAGGTCGCCGAAATTGCTGTATACTTTCTCTGACTCTGTATTAATATTTCCTTTTCCTTCTCAGACAGCGATTATGACGTAATGGAAGTATGATCTGGTCGATAAAAACATTAAAAATTGATTTCACCATGTTCTCGAAGAAAAGTCGCAGTAGAACGTGGTAGAATCAAGTGTAACTAGCTAAAAACCTTCTGCAAAGGTTGAGATCGGTTAGGTATGAGTTTCTTCAGGCATGTACTAGAGAAAAATAGAATACCATGCGGTCTCAGTACACAAAAAAGGCCAATTAAAGAAATACGCTGAAAATTCGTACATAACGATGTAAAAACGGTACGTTTACGGTCCATTAACGTAGACTTAACAGCACGTTAACGCGCCGTTAACTTAGCCGTTTTGAACGTAGGTTTCATGACACATGACCGGAAAATAGTCAATAAACGGCCGGTAAATGGTAAGAAAGCATTTTGTCCATCTTGTTGTCTTTTTTTTGAAGTGATAAATAAACTTTAAACTAAACTAACATTTACAAATAGAATTAATATTACATGATAAGCACATTATGTATAAAAAAAGAGATCAGCAAAGAGATCGCATAATAATCACACCTTAGAGAATGCGACATGTAAACCTCTGTACATTTATACATTTTACACTTGAAAGAATCTATTTGTACTATTAACATGGCAACTTTTTCTACAACTTCTAAATCAAAACCTTTACTGATTCATGCTAGATTTTCTTATATTCGTGACTAAACGCATAACAGAGCAACAAATAGCTGGCTCTATTATGCGTTTTGTCTCAGACACACCCTTTTCTAAAAAATAGATCAATACATAGTACAACTCATGTACTTCAAATTAGTATAAAAGGCGGAAAAACGTTCTCTTTAGTTAATTTAATTTTAATTTGAGAAGTTGTTAGAATATAGGATATATTCACAGTGAGGACTGGTTCTTTCGAATATAGAATAAATGACGTCTTGATAAAAGTATAGAATTTTTTCTGTTTCTTATTTTGTTCTACAAGAAAAATAACTTAAAACACACATATATACGAGCACATAAGCAACATATATGAGACGGAAGAAAAATAAGATCAAAGAAAAGTAAACGAAGTGTGTTTGATATCTATTGTTGAATATAGTATAATATATACCGTTGTTATGACCTGCATCCCCCAGATGCACTCATAATATAAAATTATGTTATTGCGCAACTCATGCTTCATCATGGGAGTTTCCTAACTCTTTCTGTCCTTGCGCAACTCTTGTAAAACTTTTGCTTACCTTTTGCACTATATAAAGCCGTTCACCTTCTTCAAATAAACAGAGAGTGAGAGTTGGATCTCACAACCGTGAAAACCCACAATGGAGAATTCGAGTTCAAAAAGTGTTGGGACCCCGACGAGATCTTTGCGTCGTACAATGTAACTCGTCGCACTGATTCCGAATATGTAAATCCTCAGACTCACAATGAAGTTTAAATCTATAAACGTTTTCTCGAGACCCCCCAAAGAAACCAGAATAATTCGTTTATCACAGACGAATAGAGAAAGTTCAATAGCTCCATTTTATCTTCTCCGTGTCATGGCAAATAAGACAAATTTCTCCTTTTTTCTGGTGAATTTTGATAAAATAGTTCTTTGTGCCACAGAACTCCTCTCAACGGAGCCGATGACACGTGAAAAGAAAAACGACGCTTCGAAGCACTGAAATTCACATTTCGATTCCACTTTGTTGCATGAGATGGTTCTCAAAATACTTATTTTCCGTTCTGCTTTGGGTTACAAGCTTGTCCAGATTGAACCCTCGACGTATTTGCGATATAGTTTTTATTTCTACAATATATAGAAAGATATTCAATCTGTTTTCTGTAGAGAATGAAATGGTGAACTTCCTAAAAAGAAAAATTAATCCTAGAAACTTAAAGAAGAAAAAAATAGAAAATATGGACAGTATCGTTCATTATGGTACATTCATTTTAAGAAAGCAAACACAATTATTGTACTATCTGGGAGGGTCAGCAAGCTTGACAACCCATGTTCTAGTCATCTCTTTTGTTCCCAAGCTCAAATCTAAAACGTAGAATAAACCATGTCATCTTTGACATTTATATCTAACGCAATACTTAGTGCTTAGAAGTTTACAGTATTCAGAAACTAAATGATTCTAGCTGTTGTGATAGTTCGAAATCGTCTAACATTGCCGATTGATGTGCATTTGTAAATAGAAATTTCAACTTTTGTCCCATCTCTTTCGGCATTGATTTACATTCTCTTAAATGAAACTCATAATCTAAACTAAACTTTTCCTTTGCTTTACTTTTGTCATATTTTATAACATTGATAACTTTAAATGCTGCATACGGTAATATAAGTACTTCTTTTTCTCCCGGAAATTCAGACATTGTTTCGATTGCTAATGCAGTTCGTTCATTTCGTGTTTCATATTTGCATAAAACAGAATATTTTGATGAATCCCCTCCAATAGCAAAGTTTTCGGCTATTTTTTGTTCTTTTGACGTTGACAAAAATGATTTATTCATGACGTGTGTGCCAACTTTATATTGAGAAATGTCAAAATCGTTCATTTTAGCTCCACGATACGTTTCACCTTTAAAACTAAATTGTTCTAATGCTGGATGATTATATAATGCAGCTACAATCCATTGCTCCATACTTGCTTCCCAATTCTTAGTAAAATCTTCTGATGCAAAATCTCTGTTCAACTTTCTATAATATTCAGTTTCAGCTGTGTAGGCTTTGACTAACCATATAGGATCTTTGGTCAGTTTAGTTTTTGTAAAAAAGAATTGTATCATTGATCGTTCAGTAGCATTGGATAACCTTTCGGTCAAATAATTTTCAATCATCCAGTCAATTCTATTCAACATTTTCGTTTCATTCCATGCTGATTTTAGCCATAAACGTCGATATATAGCCTTCCGATAAATAGATGAAGTTGTATTGACTTTAAGCCATTCTAGTTGTGTTGAAACATCGTCGCCATATCGATCACACTTTCCTCTGAAGAAGAGTCCTCTGATTTCGGGTGTTTTTCCCTCATCATAAGGACAACATTCGAATTTATTTTTTATCGATCGAGAAGCACCCGCATTAAGTAATAATCGAACGATATCGAAGTGACCGTAATAACTGGCAGCGTGTAATGCAGTTGATCCATTTGGCTCTTCACGATTTAGCTCTTCAAGGCTAAGAGTTACTAAAAGTTGTTTTACTGTCTTTGTATCTCCGTTTCGACAAGCTATATAAAAATCACTACATTCTGACCATGATGACGTTGAGTCGATACTGTATTTTTTTGCACATGCCATATCTTTTACCTGTAAATGTGAATTCAAATGTGTTCTTTTTCAATTTTTCAAATTCTATTAACAGAACCGATCTGGAAAGAATTGGATAATAAAACTGACTCATGCATTTACTTTATGTTAGGTTATATATATATATTTATTTTGTTGTTAGTTTCATGAGACTAGTTATGCAACTCCAGACTATGAATAATATATTCTGAATTTTTTTTCGTTAATGTCACCGACAACTTAAGAATATTTTTCCTTTCTTTTTGTATTATTCATAGAATTAGGCCAACTAAAAAAATGATGCAGAAAAACAAATTCTGATAAAGATGGAGACCGCACTCATTAAATTTATTTAATGTTTTCAAAAAGGTGTGATATTTACAATAGTCGTAAAATTCTTTTTATATGTTTTTTATTGTGTACATGAGGCGATTATGACCATATATAGTTGCAATAGAAACATAAAATTTGCTTTCTTTTCTTTTAATAGGTAATTTTATACGATATTTTTGTCGACCTCGTATTTGACTGTAGCTGTTGAAGAGCGAGTTATGGTATGTCTGGTACGGGAGAATTCATGGTGTTGTCATGAACATTTCAAAAATCATCGTTTAACATGCGATGCAATGAATATAACCAAGTTAAGTCATACAACATAGAAAATGCTACTTTCAAAACGAGTGATGTTCAATTATTAATAAATAATTTTCAATTTCTTTACAAAAAAATGTTTCGAGATTTCGATGATGATAATGTGATTTGTGATGATGACTATTATAATTTGACGAATTTGAATAAAAAACACTTTGATAATTTAATAAAAGTAATAGTAGTTTCACCAATACGTGATACCTTAACTCAATCGATCGGTATAGCGGTAGCTTGTGTATTATGTAAATGTGATTATTATAGTCTTTATTTGATAACGATGATGGTGTACCAAAAAAAGAAACCGAATAAGAATAAGGACCCACTGTATCTTTTCGTTATGTCGATGTTATATTGTAGAGGAGAAGAGAAAAAAAAATGAAAACAGCGAAAAAAAGACCTCTGAAAGAAAATAAACAAACTATGAAGAAAAACAGGTGCAGAGGAGAGTCATAAAAACAGTCAGTAGATCTTAAAAACAGAAATGAGAGAAATGGAACTAAAAAACTTTGGATACTTTTGATATATTTCACGATTATTTAATGTAATTATGTAATAGTAAAGTCATCAATATTTTCAAGTTTTTCTATGAGTTAAAGTTGCTTAACTGTGAAGGATAACACAGATGCTAAGTTATACCAATTGTTTTGGAATATCGATTACAAATGGCGGTGGTGTGAGCATTCCAAGTGAAAGTCTTTGACCGTTTCTATTTTGTACCATTCTCAATGCTACTAATTCACTAAATGCCTACTGCCCAAATCAAGAGTCAAGCGAGAGAATTCAACACACATTTGCTTGAAATGCATTTCGCAATTTTGATCAACGTTTTTGAGTCGTGCCCATTTGTAGCACCAGCACCGATAAAGTACTAGATCAAAATCAAACAATGTCTTTATTGAAAAAATTAAAAAGAGGAATGAGCAGAATAACAAAAAATTCGTTATTATTTTGATTTATATTCGTCATCGTGTTGAATATTATTATTCTAAATCGCTATGTGCCCTTCAGATTAGTGCATGATCCTACATATTCTTTGTCATCTATATCTATCACGCACATGTTTGTATGTTTTTCTTCCCTTTCTGTGGGAATAGGGGATGTTTCCCATTTCAGCAATCCCACATCAGCAAATGAGAAATGCTCCCATTTGTACTAGAAAAGCTTTGTCTAATAAGTTAAGTCTACATGTTTTGCCAAAAGTTTTTTTCTGATCGGACTGTTTTATCGATCCAGGTCGGGTTCGAGGTACGTTTTCTTAACCTGTGCAGGTTTCTGTACAATAACCAATGAAGGCTACTACGATAGGTGCAGATAGAGAAATATATCGGACATAACTTTAAACTTTAAGAATCAATACGAATACATTGATTCGGTTTTACAGAATGATAACGAAGCACTTTTTCTTTTCTTTGCTCCGTCAGTAAAGCATCCAGAAATATAAAGTTTTATAAGAGATGGTTGGACGCCTTAATGGCAATCATGCGATCGACGTCAAGAGATCCGGTAAATCGAAGATGAATTGTTACTTATTATAATTCACAGTCTATTTTATCTGGTAAACGTATTAGTGTTCTCTTGTGTTCAAAGATCTCTAGAAAACCTTTTCAAAAACCCACATACTTCCCTTCGTTTCTTAAAGCTTTCAATAAATTTCAGAGCGCAGGGTAGATAAAGTAGCGTATATCCCGATGTTTCGAACTGGTTTTGACTAAGTTGCGCTTTTTTCAATTTTGCACGAAAATAATCTAATATGTAGCATTTCACCTCATATGCATTTCCACTCGGTTTTCAACATTTTACGAAAAACAAATGTTGTGACAAAAGTCAGCGAGGCCGATAGTCTACGTTGCTATTATTTCTGAGGTACCTACAAGTCATCTCACATCAGTTTCTCAACTCCCAAGAAAGCTCATGTCATAGTGAAACGACGGTATTAAAACGTCTTCCTGACGTGCGTAAAGATCTTTCTACGACGAAACTTGAAGGTAGCCTGTTGCCATGCTTTTCATTTGTTTAACGCAATCGATTAAATTAAGCTCAGGTGACTGTCTTCGAAATGTGTTACTTTTACATCGTTTTTTTCTCCTTGAAAACTCAGATTATTCTCCCATGAATTTTGCCATGAAACAACGAACAAACACTCTTTAACCAAAAAATAAACGAAGTTTACTTTTAATTTAAAAATTTTCAAAATCTGAAGATGAGAAATCAAAAATGTCATTTGTCCAATTCTTAAGTTCGGGAAAAACAAATTCTGACAACAATAGGTAAAATATCGTTACACTAGCGCAGTTAGAGACGTGAAGTGTAATTTTCTCTCAGAACGTGAGCGGTAGAAGCTTCATGAAGATAAACTTGGATTGCGCTAGTCGAGCTGTGTACTAAATGTTATTTTCTATCAACATATCTAGGAGCAAATGTTTTGCGAAAAATACTGTGTTTTGGAAATGAGCTCTGTCCAAAACAAACGACGTCTTATTTCGCATCTCGGAAGGAAATCGCATTTAGTTAGTAATCATAGCGCCATTCGATAAAACTTATCGAGTTCTTAGTATCACACTTACTTATATTCGTGACACATATCAAAGTGAGAATGTTTTCCAGAAATATTTGCCTATTAAACCAACTTTTCCCAATCTTATTGTAATTGATTAAAACCAAAGATCACACATAAAGAGGTGCACCTAAGTACTTATTTTTCTTCTGAATATGAATTTTGTTCTGATATTTGCTTTGCATTTGAACAAACCGGACAACATTTGAGATTTTGTTCGTTTGGAAATCCTGCGGTATAGTAACCACCATCAAACATCGATAAGTTTAACTGATTCCAATTATGGAACGGTTTGTTCATATCGGAATTCGAGTTTCTAGTTTTCATTATATATTGTATCCATGTATTGACAATCAAACATGCCCCAGAAACGCAAACGCCGACCCAGCTTCCAACCGTTCTCGTTGGGAATGATCTGTCTTTTGGTATGAACTCGATTGATTGATGTTTCTGTATATTTTGCGGTAGCAATAACTCCAGTGTCTTTTGTTGATACAGAGGCATAAATAATGTCGACAACTGTGATGCTGAAGGCATCTTTAGTTTCAATTCGTTCAGGCATTCCTCTATAACTGATCGTGATTGTTCACCCGATATACAGCTCATTTGTTTGAGAAATAATTGAATATCATTTCTGTTTTCTAGTTCTTGAGTAGTAAACTTGAATGAGTCAGTTGTATTATTGTTACACGCCCAGCATGGATCGTTTGGTAAACCAGAAAATAGGTTAATTTCAATGTTATTAGCGTATGTCGAACCAGCGACGTACAATATACCTAATGATTTACATAGTGAATTCACCGCATAATCAAACACCGCTCCATAATCGATATTGTTGAATATGACTGTACATTTCTTAGCTATCTCAACAACACCAGACCAATTCGTAACGGCATCAGTATGATAATCATATATATTTGTTCTTAAATTGTGTATCTGTTTTAAATGTTGGGCTGCTGCTTCTACTTTCGATCGGCCGATATCTGATAAACTGAATAATATTTGTCGATTTAAATTGGATGCATTCACAAAGTCACGATCAAGTAAATGTACTGTGTCTACTCCCGTTCTCACGAGAGACATTGCAATACTGCTACCAATACCGCCAACGCCTAATACAAAGACACGCTGTTGTTCAACTGAGCCCTGATGAAAGTTTTTCATAACACGCTGCCGATCAAATACATCACCATGTATCTCTGTAGGAGGTTGTTCTCCTTCTGATACAATATAGTTCAAATTATATTTACTTGTTGCATTCACTTCTACTGCACTAGACATTTTTGGTTTCACACGCCAAATGAAAGGTGTAGAATAAAGAAAAAGAAGAGAAACATTTGTTTGTTCTATGACACATAACAGGATAGTGAAATTTTTGTCGGTACTCAAAATAAGCTTATTCACAACGTGGAGAATAAAGAAAGAATAAAATAACGAGTCCTTGAAAAACAACCTATTATGCTTGTGTCGTCATACGAGAAAAAGTTGTCGCTGAAACGCACAACTTTATTACATGTTATATGTATGTTTAAGCTACAAACAATATAAAAAAGCGTTCGCAAAAGCTTGGCGAATACGTTTTTTGTTTGAAATTGTTCGACCTATTTAACGATATTCATTCTTATAGTCCATGTTTACACAACCAAACACCTAGCGTATCTTATATAGCGAAATTTAGCAAAATTAGCTATTTCCTGGCATCCAAATATTAAAATTGAATTCCAATGCTCCAACACGTACAATAAGTCAAAAAAAGGTCAAGAAAAGCGCTTTTAATTAACGCGCGCGTACCAATGAGAACAGTGCCAAAAATGAAAGATAATGGTTCATTAGTCACTTTTCGTCAAATATGGGATTCGAATTCATTAAAATGCCTAAATTGGTGCATGAGTAAACGTTTGCTAAAAGAAAATCATACTTAATTTAGTACAAAACTTCCATGTGCTTGGGATCCTTTTCGTAGCATTAGTTACAGCTAAAAGTCAGACTTTTCTTTGAGAACATGATCATTTAGAAGCCGAAGATCTTTCAAGTTCTTTAAAAAATCAAATAGCCATCCTATAAAATAATAGGTTGAACTGTCGAACAGGCGCAGTACAGCAAAATATTAGACATAACCACTCATGCTTCTCCTTGTTGCTCTTCTTAGTTTACTGCGCCCAGAAGGGCTGATATTCTTTCTATAACCATGGTGTTTATCGGCACCTCAGGCTGCTATCATGTAGATAACTAATATTTCTACAGAACTTCGTCGTCCGATGCAAATCCTGCCTATTGTATCTCTTACGGACAACTTGGATAATGGGTTGATTCTGGTTGTATCATTCTAACTCCTGAAGAGCGAAATGCACATTTCATAATTATACAGCCTTTTTTTAACAAATAACCTATTCCTGGTTCTTTCCTTCTGTGAGGATGGTGAGGGTAGCATGTGTGTGTGTGCAAGAGACTTCCCCAGTATATTACCGGAAAAGAAATTTTACTTATCCTTTATCCTTTATTATTAATTGTAATGTGAGAATTTCAGGATAAAAGACATTTCTTGATATTCTTCCTCAACATCCAATCGTACTTAAAACTTGAGTTTATATTCAAGTCATTGCGGCTTCAAATCAAGTAATCATGTATCGTTAAAAAGTCTTTTTGAACCTCATTAAACACCTATCACATTGACCCTCATGAGTAAGCACTAAACAATGCAAACCAACAGCATATACGCGCTCATATAAAAACTTTATCATTCTTTTATTACCGCGAGGAAATGAAACTGCCCCAAAACTTATTGGTGATTATCAGAAAATCTTCTGAAAGCATGTTTACATAACAGGATAGGAAAACACTACAGAAAACTATCCTAATTAATCAAATACTCGCAATAATTGTTATCTGTTATTTATCAACGATAGTTTTTGAAGCTATTGTAATACAAGATATCTAACGCATATTTTCTGTATCTTAAAATATAAACAACATGAACACAAGTGTACGTGCTCCCTTGACCGTAAAGCCTTCATCATTACTGTCGCGAGTTCAGATAAGACAACAAGTGTTCCGAACAAGTGTCTTCGTTTCTACTCTACACTAAAAGATTTCTCTTCAGAGTAAGTTGTAATACAATTCTGCGACAGCTTAGTGTTTAGGGCCGTTATTTGGCAGTGGTATATTTGCTCTAACGTTACTCAGTACAAATATGAAAAGGCCTTTTCAACTTACACATGTCGATGTACGTCCAAAACGCTCATTATTCACTATGCAGGTACGTCCATCATCCTTCCACATGACTACAGGTATGCACGTCCGTCACATCTTCACGTAGCTATATGTATGTACGTCCGTCATTGATCGTTTTTGTACGCAGAGCGTGGACACACAGACGTGCGGACATTTAATGACCCTAGAATTCACAGTCAAGGGAATAATATTTTTCAATTTTAATAGTTTGGTCAGAGGAGTATCTATGCTTTTATTAATATTAAATACTAGAAGTTTGTCTTTTTTCTTTTTCTTTTTGTTGTTGTGGGGTTCTTCTTCTATACTGCATCTTCCACTCGTCGTGGTATACATACAGAGACAATAAATATGTGTTTTAACACTGGATGCATTTTCGTAAAATTGTATCTGTAAAAATAAACCCGTAGCCAAACGGTTATATTTGTTTCGGTAAATAAAAACAAAAATAAATTACCGATTGCTTATATCTGTTATTTTATTCATTAAAACTACTATGTAGTTTGTTTGTTTTAGATTATCTTACTGTGCATCCCAAAGCCAAGCTTTTACACTTAATAATCATGTCGATGGAGCTATATCTCACCATTCTTCATGTAACTATTTTCGTGTTCTGTTATGCTAACAAGACCTTTATGTAACAATTAATAATATGGTAAAATAAATGAACCATATGCGTTTAAGACATAAATTTCATCGACAGCATATTTTTGAACAATTTGAGCATAATAACTGTAAACATTGTTCATATAACACGATCTCAACCATCTTAAATCATTAACCATTGTTTTTCATTTCCAAGAAATCAAAGGATAACACTGGCATTGTTCATCTGTCACTTCTAGTTCATTATCCGTCATAAATACTACATCGTTAATGAATTGTTGTAAGCATAATGAACTTAACGTTAAATTTATAGCAATAGCTTTTACGGAATCGCTGTTGATATTCAGATTTTGCCAATGCATGCCAGTTTCTTCTCGTGTAATTGCATCATCTACAGATGCACCCAAACAAGATGCTGATGTGATTGTTACTACTCCTACATCGTCCTTAGCGGTAAATGGTCATCGTAAACATTCTTTAGCAAATTATTTTCATTATCTTCACCATAATATTTGTTGATCTCTTTCGTTCGAGTAGTTCAATATTTCCTAACTTGTCCTTTCACTGTAAACGCTTTGCAGATTTAATCATAGTATTCAAAGCGCTAGACATTAGAAGATCGGTAGTTGTGTAATTATCATTAACATTTGATGAGACTTGAAAGAAACGATCGTCTGTTAAACTAGATAGATCTGACTCAGATGGATCGTTATTTACATTACATACTGTTGAACAAGGTTTTCTGATAAGAAAATGACTCATAGTGGCATTTGCGTGTCCGAACATTTTGATGGCAATAAATATGTTTCTTTTAATAGCTTGAGAGCTTCACCATATTGTTGTGTTATGTATAATATATATGTGCTATACACTTAAAAGTTTGCGACCACTGTTAAGATGACGGAATATGTTGATACCGCTCAAAAACGCTTAAGTAAATAACTACAGTTTTTTCCCGATAGCGCAGATAGGATTCCCTCCTCATCCAAATCGATGGTTATAATAATAAAAAGGAACTAGTTTTTTCTAGATTACCTGAGTCACAGTTATTTTTCGTAGAGAAGGCAAGAAGAAGTGGGAAGAAAAGAGAACAATTAGTCACACTTCCACTTGCCTTTTAATAAAAGGCTTTTCAAATATCAAGTTGTTCATAGGAGTCACTAAAATTTAGTCATAACTGTTCTCATACTATTGAACTTGGAAAATTTTTTCAAAATATATATATAGAAAATGTTTATATTTAAGGCTAGGGTCCGGCGGGATTATCCCGATCCCTATTTTTTTCCCGAACCCGGTCCCAATCTCGTCGGGATCGAGATCGGGATCCCGGTTTCAATGTCACTGAAGTATTGTTCAGGATCCCGATCCCGATCCCGACGGGATTGGGATCGGGACCGGGATGAA